CAAAATAAATTTTTGTTTGTTTTTTGATTTCACATATTTAATATAATTTTTGATTTTCGCTCGTGTCTTTTGACTTTTGCTTTGTTTTTGATTTCATGCTCCTAACTTAACTCAACATCATTTTTGTTTTTTTTTTTTAATTAATAATAAATTTTTTTCAATGAAAATTTCTTTTGAATTTTGCTTAAAACTAAATTGTTTTTGATTTTGTTTAAATTTTGATTTTGATCTCATTTGTTTGTGGAGTTTTTGCTTAAGTCTAATAAAAAGTTTTCTTGTTTTTGTTTTCCTTTTTGATTTTTTGCTTCGGCTGGCGGCCAAAAATTTTGATTTATGCTCATCTTTAAAGGTACGTTGCAAGTTCTTTGTAAAATTGTTTACTTAGCCAACATATATATAGCATGCCTACTATATACCATATATATATATATATATACTCTATATATGTAATATTTTTAATATATATTTCATTTTGATTTTTTGGTTTAGATTTTGATTTGTGCGCTCTTTGGTGTATATAAAACATAAATAAAATAAAAAAAAAAAGAAATAAACCAAACCCGAGTTCTGTTTGCGTTTTATGCATATATATGAGAAATTGTAATAAAGTCATTTGATTTAATGGCAGCAACGCTTCGATTTGCATAGAAAATTTGGCAAATGACGCGGAATATACAATATTTTGCATTTGCAAATGGAAAGAGAGAGTGGAGAGGGAGAGAGATGGAGTGAGGGCTAGTTGCTTTGGCGGGAAATTGTGGAGGAAAACGTCGCGTTGTCAAGTAAATTGCATTTTTCATTTTTCACATCGACTCAGACTTGCATTTATATTGCATTTCCTGCACACACACACCCATACACCCATCTTTTTAAACATGCAAATTGTGACAGCCACCCCCCGGGACGGACAACTTTTTGGGCGAGGATTATGCCGAACAATGCCAAATGCCAGTCCATTATAAATAGCCATAAAAATTCAATAGAAAATCGAGAAAAACATTTGCATGGCCACAGGCAAAGACGGAAAGACGGAGGGTGCCCAAGCGAGGGTTGCTATCAGACTCACACAGTAGCACACACATGTACTATACATACATATGTATGTATATGCATATATATATTTATAAATATCTATAGAAAATTGTAGCTTTAATTGCATCGAGAGTATCGAATGTCCTCTCGGCGCGTAATCAATGAGATGAAATTTGCATGGACACGTGACAAATAATTAACGAAAAAGGCCGCGAGCCAACGGAGGGTTGCCGGACAGCGGCATACACTCGGAGAAATCAAGTGGTGTTCTAGCTGGGAAAAACTAAACAACTCCTGAGAGGATTGCCAAAAGATTTTTTGGATAACGATTCGTCTATTGAGGCTTGAATTACCGTCTAGTGTAAGCACTCAGAGAAATTAGTTGCTAAGAAAACTTGAGATGTACTGAAGTAGTGTCCTATGTAACTTGTAGCTTATGGAGGGGTTGCTTGGACAGCAGCCGGAAAGTGTTTAGTGTACGAAATATACCCAGAGACGGTACAAATTTTAGCAATGTAACATGAGAGTTGCTGAATTATATTATGAAAGAATATGGTATATATATGTATATTTTTCTCAACATATTTTTCTCCGAGTGTATGCATATATTTTTAATCAATTGCATCGCAGCATGTAGTCTATATTGATTTTTACTTGCATACAATTTTTTTTTTTTACAGCCAGCAGCTGCACAATTTGAATTTTCCCCTGAAAATGCGGAAAATGTGGAAAATGCCCGGCTTGACCCACACATAACGGTTGCAGTTGACCGTGCGCTGAATTTCCCATTTTCCTTACACACACACACACACTTTCCATTATAATACTTATCGCATTTTTTCATTTTTTTACTATAGTATATATATATATGTATGTATATGCATACATATTTTTTAGGCAAATAGCCTAATCAGCCTTTGCGTGGGGGTTGAGCCGGAAGCGCGCGGCGCACACAAAATTTTATTTTATTTTTTTTTTATTTTTATGAGGGTGCCTCCGTTTTGTGGCAGCTGCCGCTGCAGGCGAATTGTGAGTGGCATGAATTAAAAAATAAAAAATAGAAAGAAAACACAAACTGGGATAAATATGTTTCTTCGACTCGCTTTGTTGACAAATTGCATTTGCTTGAAAATTCAATCAAATATCAATTCAATAATTTGCTATCAAAGGCGTTCAGCCGGCATCAAGTAGACCCCTATCCGAAATAAAAAGAAAATCACTCTCAGCTGTTTAAAGAAAAATAAAAAACAACAAAAAGGTTCACAATTGGGTGTGAACTCTAATTGAGCACAATCAACGACAATTTTTTAAGTGTGCCTCGATAAGATTTGTGGTCAATTAAAAACCGCCCATTCCTGCAGCAGAACTCGGGCAAGGAACAAAGTAAAAAAAAAAATGATCGAAATCAACAACAAAATTTGGAAATAAAATGTACAAAAATTATTTGAATTAAATTTTTAACAAATACACGTGTTTATTCATATAGATTTATGTATATACATTATCAAAATAATTGGAATAAAAATTATGAAAATAATTATGTTTAATTGTAAATGAAAATTATAAGCTATGTATTTAAATATTGTTTAGTATTTTGCATGGTATATTTTGTATATATGTATGTATGTTTTTTTTTGATTAGCTATTTTATTTTCAGTGTTGTACAGCGACGCATATGTTTTTTGCTAAAAGGCACGCAGCATTTTAAAAAACACACGTTTTTAAAAAATAAAATTAAAAATAGCAAAAAATTAACGTCGCTGCATTTTATTGTTTATGGTTTTGGTATTTTATTCATTTTGATTTTTTTCATATTATTTTTGATTTTTTTTTTTTGCATTGACTTTTCAGCTGCGCAGATTTTTGTAAAGAACAAACGCCTTAAATACTACAAAAATAATAAACAAAAATCTGCGCAATAAATACTGAAAAGTTCATGCAAGTTCCGCTGTTGTTGCTCATGGATTGTATGTATATATATCATCTATAAGCTGGTGCAGACCTATGCCTAAATGGCCAGGCCATTTGGCTGGCTACTGCCAAACTTTGACTAGATTTGCATTTGCGTCTTTTCTTTTTGCTTTTGTTTTTAGTATTTTGCGACTAGCTTCGTAATTTTTTGGTCAGTTTTCGTTATTGGGGAATGCGTTTGGTTTTTTGGTATGTTTCACTTACAATTAAAACTAAATAATAATAAAAATACTTTTTAACTAAATACTAAATATAAATTGTTTTGTGCTTTTTCTTGTTATTGTTGTTTCATTTGTTTGTTTTTGTTTTTGTTTTTGAGGTAAATTCACTAAAAATTTCATTTACTTTGCTGCTCTATAAATTGCAGTATTTTTTGTTCGTTTTTCTTTTATCTTTTTTATAAGCATAAATGTTTATATATTTTATTATACAAATTCATTTATTTAAATTATTGTTTTCAAGTCCGTCTGAGGTAGCATTTTTTTTTATATATTTAACTTTTTTATGTATTTATTTTCGCTTTATCATTTATATATATTTCATTTAGTATTTTATTTAGTGTATTTAAAGTACTAATGGTCATTGTACTTTTGCCCTGAGTTGTTTGTGTTGTTGTTGTTGTTTTGGTTTTCCTGCCTGCTGCATAAAAAAATTAGCAAAAAATGTCTTTACTGGCGCCATTATCTATTCAAATCTGAATCGGTTCTGCTCTATAGATGTTGCTCGTTCTATATATACAGTTATTTTTTGGCATAGGTTGTTCTATATGGAAGTGTAAAATAAAATTTGCAGAAATTTCTATAGTATTTAGATTTACCTAGATATTTTCTTTGAAAGAGCAGTGTTGCAAAACGTTTTCAGTGTTAGTTAAATATATGTTACTATGGAACTGTCTTGTATATATTAGCACACCATCTCTAAATACATCATTTACTTAGTTCTCCTAATTTTGATTTCGACTACTTTTTTTGATTTTTGAGCAAATTTGTGCATAAAATGTTTTTGTTTCTGGTTTTCTTATATGTTGAAGCTTCAATGTGTTTACCCCTATCTTTTGTGTAGGTTTTACTAGCACTACTATATATTTATATATATTATACCAAATCCCTTAAGCTAAGCGCACCGAACCTAGCCATAGACACACCTATGTCCAACTATCTAAGTTAAGCTGGCGACTACGATATATGTTTCGGTTATATATGTATATTTATATATCGCCTTTCTCTTCTAGATCGCTCTCCTCTGTCTCGCTCTCTCTCTTTCTCGATTCCATGCTTTGCGACTTATGTATTATGTACGTATTTAATTTTCAATTTTCTTTTTGATTTATGGTATTTTCTTTTTTCCTTTTTTTTTGACTAAGTTAGTTTTCTTCCTTTTCCGTTTCCGTTTCCGTTTACGATACGTTAATGGCTTTTAAAAATTACTATTACGCATAGGAACTTTGATATTAATCACTAGAGATATAGATATATGTATTGTTTTGGTATGTTATGCAATGTTTGATGTTTATCATTTATGGATTTATATAGAAAAATATGTTTTTAGCACACAGTGTTGCCAGCTGAAACGGACTTGTTGTTATTTGTTTATCATTTTGATTATAGTTTGATTCATTCTGTTTGCTTATAGATCGTTTTTAGTATCGGGTTTTATGTTATACACAACTCGATCTCTGCAGTTGCTGTAGCTATAGCTATTGTATATAAACTTTACTTTAATGAGCTCAACTAATATGCGCACTCAGTCTTTTGTAGTTCCACTATTTTGTCTTGTCTTCTTGTCGGTTTAACTGGGTTGGAGAGGGGGAGCGAATACTGCTAGCCCGCTCTGTAGCCTGGCTAGGGTAATCGTAGTGATGCAATGACACGAGCTGAACTTCAGATATTGGAAATATTGAGTTTATCTTCGTATCGTATAGTTCATTGACGTTGAGAGTTACTCAAGTTCATATAAGCTTTAAGTCATATTATAAGGACTTTATATGTAGTTTTGATTAGAGCTTAAAGCTGCATTAAATGTGATTTGATAAACCAAACTTATTGCTGCTTAAAACTTTTATAATCTAATTATTTCTTCCTCTATGTTTCTCTTCTAGTTTGATCCCAGCTTAAGCTCGTGTCATTGCACCACGTGTGGTATATGCTTTTTGCAGAAAACGGTTTTTGGGGTTTCTTTTATCTTAACTTACATACGCTGGCAACACATTGGTGTTGTTGTTGTGATCTGTGTGTTCGGTACCTGTTGACCTCTGCGCCCTGTCTGGGCTTAGGCCGGTGTCAGCCTGAAGCTCAGTGTGGTCGACTCCGAGGCGCGCACGCGCACTGGCAGATAAACGAGCGCCGGCGCAAAGAGGCCCTCGGCATCGGCATCAGCGGGCGTCAGGTGGAAGGCCTGCATCTGGTATGCCTCCTCCGACTTGTCTGGCTGGGCATAGCTGGCCGGCTTGCCGCTGCCATTGGCCAGATCCGCGCACAGCTCGAAGGGCGAGGTGGCGGCCGAACGCTGAGCCTGCAGGCCGTTGGGTGTGCCCGGCTTGGAGTTGTGGCTGGGAGTCACACTGGCTGAACGGGCTTTGGGCGAGGCGGCAGTTGCGCCTGGCGAGGTCGTGGGCGTGCCTGCCTTGCTGTGGCTGCTGTTGTTACTGTTGTTGCTGTTGTTGCTGTTGTTGTTGGTGGTCAGATTTGTGGGCTCGATTTCGGAGCGTTCAGCTTTGAGGGCACGCTCTCTGCTCGGCTTGCTCCGGGCCTTGCTCTGTACGGCGCCGAAGGCTCTCTCCCGCTCCGCCTCCAGAGGAGCGTCGTTGCCATCGTTGCCGCCATTGTTGAGCAGCGCATGGGAGCGCTCGTGTATGAAGAGGAATGCGTAGTAGGGCGTGGTGAAGGGGCACAGTGAGCATTGGTATTCCTTGAAGCGTGGCGTCTGCTCGAACATGCCCGGCAAGGGCAGCGGCAGCGGCATCCCTTTGGGCAGCTGCATCTGGCCGAACAGCTGCTGCTGGGCGTTCTGCAGCGCCTGGGCCAGATTGTTGGCAGCGCCCGCAGCACTCCCATTGGGTATCTTGAGCGTGGGACTGTTGGGCTTGCTGCTGCCGTTGTTGCTGCTGCCGATGGCCGACTGCTCCAGCTCGCGCAGCTTCTCGATGCCAGCGGCGCCGTGTTCGTTCATCAGATGCGTGCGCAGCCACTTGGAGCTGCGGAACTGTCGGGCGCAGAGCGGGCAGAGCTCGTTCGATTCGCCACGCAGCGGCGTCAGGTTAATCTCCGGTTCGAGCAACTGTTGCTGCTGTTGCTGCTGCTGTTGCTGCTGCTGTTGTTGCTGCTGCTGTTGCTGCTGCTGTTGTTGCTGCTGCGCCTCGACTTTCAGGCCGTTCTGGGCACTGCCACGCGGCTGAGGCAGCGGAGCGCCGTCCTCGATGATGCCGTGCGTGTTGTGCTTGTGCACGCGCAGAAAGTATTTGCTGCAGAGCTCCTTGTTGCATATGTTGCAGACGACGCCGCCGATCTGTGCCCCGTTCTCGATCTCGATGCCGTGCATGCGCTGCATGTGCGTCTTCATGAAGTACTTGTTGCACAGCTCCTTGTTGCAGATCTCGCAGTAGCTGGACGTGGGCGTGATGGTGTAGGCGGCACGCGGTGTGCCGGGTGCCGCGCCTCCAGCGGCGCCACCCGCAGCGGCAACCGTCACACGTTCCGGCGTGTAGAAGCCCTCGCGAAGCGGACTGCTGCCGGGCAGACGACCCAGATGCACCTCGGCGATATGTTGCTTGAATTCCTGTGAGTTGGCAAAGTCGCGCTCGCACGTCTGGCAGCGCAGCTCGTTGGGGGTGGGCGTGGCCGCGTTGGGTGAGCCCCCAGCACCGGCCACTGGCGAGAGCTTCAGCGGCAACTGTTGCTGCTGCTGCTGCTGCTGCTGTTGTTGCTGCTGCTGCTGTTGCTGTTGCTGGTAGAGCATGGGATGTCCCTCGGGCAGCAGCTGTCCGGCATGCTCCGTCATCAAATGGGCACGCAGGGCATATTGATGCTCCAGCTCCCGGCCGCACAGGTGACAGGGCAGCGGGCGTTTGCCATTGAAGTCGTTGAGCTGCTGCAGCATCGATTGCAGCTTCTGCAGATTCTGCAGACCCACCACGGAGTTGTCCAGCTTGTCCTGTGGCGGCGTCGTCTCGTCGTAGGGCTCCAGCTTGATGCGCTTGCTGGGCTGCTCCTCTAGCTGCTGCTGCTGCTGCGGCTGCTGCGGCGGCTGCTGTTCGTCGTCCTGCTGCTGCTCCTGCTCGGCAGCTGCCTTGGCCAGCATCAGATTCAGTGGCATGAATGGCCAGCCAGCGGGCATCAGCGACTGCTCCTCCTTGCCCAGCTCCTCGGGCGGCACAAAGACGCCGTGACGCTTCCATTTGTGCGTGCGCAAGAAGTAGCGATTGGCGTACTCCTTGCAGCACAGCTCACAGAATGCCTCCGGCAGCTGAACGCCGAGCCGTCGCAGCTTCTCTGGCGCCCAGTTGGAGTCGCGCGCCTGCTGCTGCAGCTGACTGGGCAGCTTGCGAGGCGGCGGCGCAAAGGCCACCTCCTCCTGCTCGAGCGTGAAGTCCTCGCGAAATCCTTCGGGCAACTGGTACGGCTTCTGTTCCGGCACGGCTAAAGCTTCCGGCGTGGGCTCCTGCTTGACCGCCGACTGTGCGGTGGACGGCGTCTGCTCGTTGGGCGTCGGTGAGGCAGTGGGCGTGGCCTGCTCATGCTGCTTGGCGCGATGGCGGCGCATGGCAAAGACGTTGGTGAAGCGCTTGGAGCAGATGTCGCAGTGCACTGCCGGTGGTGCGGGTGGTGTCAGTTGTGGCTCAGGTTTCTGTGGCGGCGGCTCACGTGGCATTTGCAGCGTTGGAAAGATGGAAGCTGAGCTGCTGTTGCTGTTGTTGTTGTTGATGTTGCTGATGCCAATGTTGTTGCTGTTGCTGTGGTTGTTGTTGCTGCTGCTGTTGTTGTTGTTGTTGTTGCTGAGGGTGCTGATATTGTTGTTGGGCGTGCTCAAGTCGCCGGCGGGATCAAAGATGCCATGCTTGTTGGCCTTGTGCGTCTTCAGAAAGTATTTGTTGCAGAACTCCTTGTTGCAGAGCTCGCAGTAGGCCTCCGGATTGAAGATGCGCAACGGCGGACGATTGAGTCCATCGACGCCGGCAAAGCCAGGCATGCCCAGAAGTGGCCAGCCAAGTGCAGCCTCTGGCGGAAAGGGAAAAGCGGGCGGCATGCCGGGCAGTTGCTGTTGCTGCTGCTGTTGGTGCTGTTGCTGCTGTTGCTGCTGCTGCTGCTGTTGCTGAGCCATGGCCTGTAGCCAAAGTTCGTGCTCCTTGTTGCTGCCGGCATGCCCGTTGGCCAGCTCCAGCTGCTGCTGTTGCTGCTGCAGCTCCAGCTGCGAGGGGCTCTCAGCGCGCTCCAGCTTCACTTTGATGGAGGCCAGCAAGTCCATGGGCTCGTCAGACGACAACTGTTGCTGGTGCTGCTGCTGCTGCTGTTGTTGCTGTTGATGTTGCTGCTGTGTCTGCTGATGATCCTGCAACATGTGCAGACTGAGCTTGAACTCAGTCTCGAAGTTCTCGCCGCACTGCTTGCAGTAGGTCTGATAGGGATTAATTAGTTGTTGCTGCTGCTCTTCCTCCTGTTGCTGTTGCTGTTTCTCCTCCGCTTCTGATATGTCTTCGGGCTGCAGCTTTTGCTGCTGCAGCAGCTCGAATGTCTCCTTTAGCTTCTCTATGGACTTGGGCAGCAACATCTTCGACAGCTTCTCCTCGTAGTCGATTGTCGCTGAGTCCAGCTGACCCGCTGACGCAGCGCCCGTTGCGGCTCCCTCCTCCTGCTCGCCGCCGCTCAGATTGAGCGCCTCCAGACGACTGGGATTGTGTTGCTTGCGCCGCTTCTTGGCCGCATCGTTGAGCGCCTCGAGCAGCTGCAGCTGCATGGCTGCTGCGTTAGCTGCTGCTGCAGCCATTGCAGCCATCGCCGTCTGATCCAGACCGTCAGCTGCCTCGTTCTCGCCCTCGCCCTCGCCGTCGGCCTCGGCTTCGCCCTCGACCTCATCCTCGACTGCTGCCATGTCTGTCTCATTTGTGTTGCTTCCAAGTGGCTTAGACTCCGCTTCCAGAGTGGGTGACATTGCTCTAGTAGCTGCAGTGGTTGCTGCTGCTGCTGCTGTGGCTTCATGTGTGTGACTGTTGTTGTTGTTGTTGCTGGTGTTGGTGCTGCTGTTGTTGCTGCTGCCGCCGCCGCCGCGATTTGTGTTGAGTGTGGATGAGTTGGAGACATCGGAGAGCGCTGTATCCTCGCTGCTCAGATCCGGCGGTGGGGTGGCATATATGGATGCGGCCATTTTGGATGATATTACTGTGAACGGAACGACAAAGCATCAGGCCAATGTACTTTAATTAAAGAAGCCCCAAAAAACTAATTGGGTGTCTAAAGTTGCGAGGAAGCTTAAGCATGCCAGCTGAATATAGTACGTGGACTACGAGGGGTTTTATTGGGGTTTAACTATAACTGGTTAGTGTGGTGGGTCAAGAGAGGAGGATGTCGGGGGTCCGGGGGGGTGGGGATGGAGATGTAGTGGGTGGCGGGAGCCTACGGCATGAATAGCTGGAGGCTTAAATCGTGTTAAGCTTCACCCGCTGCCCTATCCTCTGCCCTCACTCTATCTCTCTCTCTCTCTCTCACTCTCTATGCTGTAACTTCCATTCAATTTTATTTCTATTTGCCGCAAAAGTATGTTGCCAAAAATGTTGTACCTACACACACTCACACTCGCACGCACACACACTCGCACAGCTGGCATACAACATTTTGTGTCTCATTTCCTTATGCGCTTAATTTCATTTTTCTTCTGCTTTTCCTTTGCGCTCTGTAATTTTTTTTCTTCTTCCTTCCAGCACTTTTTCATTTTTGTGCAAATTCTATGAAAAATTTTTCCATTATGTACACAAATACATGCGCACACAGCCCATACACATACATATGTATGTGTGTTGTATTATATATAGAAAAGTTTTTGTGCGCCCAGCTGCCACCCACACCCGCACACACTCACACTCACACACACACACACACATACACCCACACTTGCAACCCCATTGCCGCACACGAAAATTTATACAAAGTCATCCGATTTAAGGAATACAAATTTTGCTTATTTTGTGTGGCCAACACACACACACACACAAACACACGCTAAGTTTTTCTCCACCCACCCACACACACACATATATATATATATATACATACACTCATGCATGCCCTGTGTAATATTTGCCAAGCATTCTCTGCCCCTCCCCTCTCTGGACAGTCCCAACTTGAACTGCGCATAAAACTTATAAAAATTTTCTTCAACATGACTTGGTAAAATAAATTTGATTCTCAAGAAAGCAAAAGGAAGCCGACAACGACACGAAGAAGGCCCAAAAAGCTGGGCGGAGAGGGGAGCCAGTGGCTGACGAACAGCCAGCACAGGCTGCCATGCAACCGTCTGTGTGTGTATGTGTGTGTGTGTGTGTGTGAGTGTGAGTGTTTGTGTCTGTGGCAAGGGGCCAAGGCAAAGGCAAAGGCAAAAATGTCGAAATGAACCCAAAAAAGAAAGCAGAAGAAAAATAATTTTTTTCCCTATTTTCTCGACGTGAAGGCAGAAGAAAAATATTCTCAACTATGCTGCAGACATAAATTAAGTTTCCATGGTTGGAAATTGGTTCTCTCGTAGATTTTGTTGCTGTTGTTGACTTTGCTTTTATACAATTTCAGCATTGAAGGCCCAAAACCCCTGCCCACCCAATCTACGCCCACTTTTGGTACTTTGCAGGAGTTAAGCAAAAATGCCTCCCTATATACACATGTGTGTGTGTGTCTCTGTGTATGTGTGTGTGGGCGGCTGACTGTGTGTTGGGATTTTTATAAAGCCTAAGGTAGTTTGATGTTATTTTATTTGATTTTTTTTTCTGCGTCTACTTAAATGAAAATGGGCAGGAGCAGAGTGTAAACAGTTCTGTATAACAGACTGAGAGGCAAGCAAATGCGTCTAATTGGCATATATAACAATGTGTTATACATAGATATAGCATCATGTAGAAAATATATATGTAGTTGTGTATGTGAACATATATGTGTATATATGATTGTGAGTGTTCTGCGGGTTTATATAGAAGCTAAAGCTGGCTTAAATATTGGGGCACGCTATGCATTGACTGCTCGATATGTTAAATAAATATGATAAGTCTGATAAATGTACACATATGATCAGTGAAATACATGTACACAGAGCTCTTACACATATTTGTATAATTTCATATAACATACTCGACAAGAGATGAGAAATTGATTACAGTCACACCACATATATAACACTTTAGTCTAGCGCCAGAAGTATAACACATATTAAATATCATTTTATATAACAGCCTAAGTTCGGTTTAGTAAATACGCATTGTACTTGACGTACATATATATACATATATCTTGCTCACACTGTATAACAGTTTAGTCTCACTTTATAACACCGTCTGGCTAAACACGCCAATCCCACAGCGATCAACCTCCTTGACAACAGCGCCACAACCAAAAGGCTGAGAAGACACCAAACGCTAGATCTCTCACACATCGCGGATCAGTAACCCTAGGCTCACGCACCTCTACACACACACACACATTCGTAACGTAATCCCGCTAATATTAAACCATTTGCTGATTCTCCAAAAGGAGAGTTTGTATATAAACAAACGTAGATTATAATAGTAATTAAAAAAATTAAAAACCTTTAACACATACTCATTAAATTGTTATATTTCTGCAACAAAAAGCTCACTTTGCTTGCATTGAGCAAGAGCTTATCGGTTATTATCAATCAATGTTCAATTGTCGTCAAGTTCTAGTACGTTTCGTTCACTTTGATATTGCACAAATGCTCGTTAAGTTCGCGCGGTTTGTCGAGTCGCTGGCGCATGCGCACTTCGCTGCTGCTGCTCGTGTCCTGCCAAGTGGCTCGCTCGATTTCAACTGTCGCATGACGCAGCAGAAACACCAAAACACAACAAAATTGATGAAAAAAAACCCGAAAAAAACTGTCAAATCGCAGTTACAAGCGCAAAATCAAAACAGCAATAACATTGATACTAAAAACACACACACATATGCACACACATGCACACATATGCACCAATGTATCAATGCACACCCCGCAGCACATTTAATAGTTTTCCCAACACACACACATACACACACATGCATAGATAGATAGCTACCCACAGCATTTTTACCCAAAAAAACCTCAATAAAACACCCCAAAATATCAAAAATCAAATAATTTCCCTTAAAAAAATACACACACTAATACACACACACACAGACACAGACAAACACATGCAAGCGACAACTGAGCGGCGCGTCGCTGCTCGGAAAACCATTATAGCTCCGCCCCTTTTTACAACTTTTCACTAACCACCACACACACACGCACATATACACTCATACACACTCTCACATTTCTAGTTGACTTTTTTTTTGCCTCGTGCTCGTGCCAATTTATCATTGTTCGATAGTTTTTCAATTTGTTTTCTTTCCAGCTACTGTTGCCGTCTCTTGTTCCCGTTGCCGTTGCTGTTGCTGCTGTTGTTGTTGCCATCGTGTCGCAGTTGTTGTTATTTAAATGTATTCAACATTTTGTGACTTTGTCACGACTTTTCCGTCGGTCGCGCCCCAAAAAAGTTGCTACGCGATTTCCGATATGCTTCACTCCATGCACACTCCAATGTCTTTCATTGTATTCATATCTTGGCGAGCGAATGCATTTGACAAGTCTCTCTCTCCCTCTCTCTCTCCCTCTCTCTCTCTCTCTCTCTCTCTCTCTCTCTCTCTGTGTGTGTACTACATCTGATTGTAGCAATTGCTGTATAAGACCCTTCCCTCTTCCTACTCTTAGGCTTTAATCTTGACACAACTCAATCTTCCATATGAAGCAATGTAATTGCCGTCTTCTTTGAAGAGTTCTGCTCATAGGGCGAGAGGGTCGGGCAGTTAAGTCTCTTTATCGAATATCTGTTGCAGCAGATAATTGAGAAGTACTTAAGCATATATGTTTTTTATTCCTTTGGTGGTTGCTAGGAACATTTTTATGTTGTACCTGAACTCAAGTGATGTTTTCAGGGCTTACATGGTTGGTAAAGAAGTCAATTAGGATCAATTAGAAGATATCTAAATATTGGTGTGAGGTCAACAGAGATGTGTTTATGAGAGTCTACAAGGGGCTCTCAGGTAGATATACATATGTATGAAATGCTGTAATATTTTATAATCTATGGTCCAAGTCTGCGTGTGAATGAGCAAAAGTGAAAAGTGGGTTGGAATTAGTAGAAACAATAGTTGTATTGTAGAGCTAATTAAAATATATTAATGACATTCTATTCTCTATACTCTCGACTCCATAAGCAGTTAATAAAAATCACAACTAAATCTGGGTGCTTACTCTAGGGCTAGCCCAGCTGCATCACCTAAATCAGATCGTAATACGTAACTCCCCTGACATATATTTATAACAAGCAAGGTTTGTGTTCCAATTTCTGCCCCTTACTCATTGATAGATTGATTTTGACTTTACACGATGCTCGCATGTGGGCAAAAGCGTGTCTCGCTGATATATGTGCTTGCCACCCCTTTGCCACAGCCCCCCACTCCGCCCCCAACTCCCACTCATGTCAGGCTAACTAGACAGCACAGCACAGTGAAAGTGAAAGTGAAAGTGACTTCTCTGCTAGCTAAATTCATCTCTCAGTCCATCTGTCCGTCTGGCTGTCTGCCTGTCGGCCTCTATGTCCTCATGTTTGTCTCTCTATCTGTTGTCCTGCCATGTCCAATGCTCGCAATGCTTTCTGATTTCTGGACATGCGCAGCAAAGAGTGTGGCACAACCTACTCCTCCTCCTACTCCTCCTCCTCCTTCTGCTCCATACATTCAGCTCTCTCGTACGCGCTCTCAGCACCGGCTACGACTCCCGCTCTGCATGTGTGTGTGTGTGTGCGTGAAAAGTCGAAATCCGCCGGTTGAACGAACCAGGCGAACAAACTAGCCCAACAGCAACAGCAGCAGCGGGAGCAGCAGCAACAGCATTGAAAAGCCATTGGTCAGAGCGCGTGGAGCGCATGGAGCGCATGGAGCCTTCAGCCTGCGTCCCAGTTGTCTGGCCACGTCTCGTGGTCAAGGTTTGCTATTGACTTTCACTTTTCACATGTCGGCACATGTCCGTGTGTGTGTGTATGTGTGTGTGTGTCCCTCTCGCCCACTGTCCCGTTTTGCGGTTGCGTTATAGCCGATGCCGGCACTTTCGCTTTCTACACACACACACACACACACAC